CTATAAAAAAAAAAAAATCAGTAACACTATAATAATAAAAACAACAAGCATTAATCTTTATTTTAAGCAAAAAATAAATAAATAAATAAATGCCAAAAATATAATTTTTCTCAAATGGTCTAACAATTATTTATAATTATTTTCCTTGATTTATCTTTTATTTGTTGGGTATTACATGAATATAAGTGACTTTAAGTCCAGAAATATACACTTGTTGTAAAAAAAAAAAAATGTTGTAAAGAAAAGAAAATACAATTTTGTTTGTTAAATACGCTATATAAAAATAAATAAAAACTATGCTACATATTGACAGCAATATAGATTTTCTCAAATGTTCTGACACTTATTTTGTGGTTTTATGTTCATCAAGGCTATTATAGTTCACTAAAACCATTAAAAAAAATTTCTTACTTGAAATAAAACACTTTAACAGAAATAAAATAAAATATATTTTTGAATTTTTTCAGCTATTTGCCAATGCATCATTTCTCGTTTTCATTTAGTTTATCATGAAGTACTAAAATAACTAAAATAAAAATAAAAAAAATGAAAATGTAAGAAAAATTACAAAAACACACAACAAAATTAGAAAAAGAAAATATACAAATAAAATATAATGAATACAAATAAATTGAAAATAAAATTATTATTAATATTAATATTTTTTAATATGATTAAAACCTAGTATCTCAATGATACCGAATAACCCTGATATTAATTTCTGCTCCAAGTAGATGAGCATGTTCCACCCTTAATAATAATACAATGGTACTACTTTGGTACATACCGTATATACATACAGTAAAAAAAAAAATAAAACTATATCATCAACACCAGAAATAATATCAATTATTTCTGATGTTAAAGCACATTTTTCCATTTCATAAAAAATAATAATTTATTATTGTTGTCGTTGTTGCTGCTGTTTTATTGTTGTATCATTATTTTAAATTAAAAATATGCAAAGACATCAACAGCAAACAGCAAAATATAAATATTTTTTGTTGTTATTATAAAAAAAAAATCATTTTATAAAATTATTATTATTATTATTGTTATTATTTTAAGCTATGAACAATAAAAATGCACTATAATGAAATAATAGCGACAATAATATGCTAAAAATGCTAAATAACATATATAAAATGCCAACAACTTCATTAATAATCATATTTGTTACTGTTAGTAGTAGTAGTAGTAAAGCTATAAACAATCAAATGATGCTATAATAACGATGACATTTGAAGTAAACTTGAGCGCCCCCTGGAGTACTGAGGTTTAATACACAAGCATGCACATGCACACTAAGTATACAACATGATAGTGTACTTGCGATGCACTGGACAAGTGCTGTACATGTGTAGAGTGGAGTCCAATGAAAAGCGAAATTATGTTTTTTACTAGAAGGACTTTATGATCGGATCTAAGCGAAAATGAAACAATAAAAAAGACACATATGCCATAAATCTTATTGAGCAAACGAGATTGTTTCATCAAGATGAAACTCAGAGCAGATGGAAAGAGTTGCAGAAAGGCATTTAATCAGCGCTTTAGCACCGGCGTGTCGCCCAAGCAGCTGTTTCTGAAGAGCCGCACTCTCTCTTTGAGGGTAAATGTGCTTTTACAGACACTAAAGCTGACAGACACCCGTCTCCATCTGTCTGTCAGACACTGAAACACAGACACACAGCAGAGACAAACACATCTCTGCACCGGCTGAACCTGAGCAAAGCTGGGTTTCATTGTGCTTTTCAAATGCATCTTTATGTAGGAGCAGTATAATAGTGATGCTTAACTTGCGAAACGCCAGTTTCGAAAAAACTAAAATAGAAATAAAATAAAATATAAAAAAGTAAAATTATTTTATTTTACTTTGTTTTATTTTACTATTTTATTTTAGTTAGTTGCAGTCAACATTTGGAATTTTCATTTAAATTTGAAGTATTAAAATAACTAACAGAAAATCATACAAATTAGAAATTAATTAATTAGAAAAAAAAAATTTAATAGAAAAATATGCATATTTTTACATGAACTTAAATGTTAAAATTAAAGTTTTAGTAATTAGTCATTTTAGTTGAATTAAAGTTTTAATTTCATTTAAATTTGAAGTATTAAAATAACTGAAACTGAAAACATCAAACTAAAATTGATACAAAAAATAAATAGACATATTTTTAAAATGACTAAAATTAAAAAGAAAACAGAAAATGTAAAAATAAAAATAATTCAAAATATGAATAAAAATATACTACTATAATAACAATGCTAAAAAAAGCACTGCTATCCATGTGTTTTTATGCACATTTTGGGATTTATGGTTTGAAAGATGCGCACAAGAAATGCATATGTTTACTTGAGGTAGATAAAATTATTTTGCCAACTTTACAATTTTTGTAACAAGATATGCACATCTAATTTTGTTTAGTTAAAGTTCAAGTACTAAAATGACTAAAACTGAAAATAACTAATTCTGAAATAAAATTAATAAAAATATAGACAGACTTTAAAAATTACTACAACTTTAAAATTGTAAAACCAATTCCTAATTTTAATAAAAACTCTGTTAGCAATACTAAAATAGCTATCCGTGTATTTTTTATGCAAATTTTGGAATATATGGTGGGAAATATGTGCATTAAAAATGCATATTTACTTAAAGAGAAAGTACTAAAAGAACCAAAAATAAAACAGACAAAATAAAAAACATTTAAAAATGTAAAAATTAAAAATTAAAAGAAAATGGAAATGGAAAACAAAAAACTCAAAGTATTAATAAAAACTATGGTACTATATTTACAACACTAAAATGGTGTTGTATTTTCATGTATTTTTATGTACATTTTGGCACATTTGGTTGAATAGACGTGAATAAAATGTGCAAGAAATGCATATGTTTACTTGAGATGGATACATTTATTTGATAAAAATAAAATACACATCAAATGAAAGCACATTTAGCAAATAAATGTATAGATATGCATTTAAAAAGTCATGTGAAAGTTTTCCAGAAGTGGTGATTTTGTTCTCTTGAACACACGGGACAGAAACGCTGCTTTACTGACAAACTGTTTTTGTGGTATCTTGCATACATTTAAATTGCAAAGAGCTTTTGTCCTCCCTCTCACACTCACACACACATACTGTGTCTTGTATTATTTCTGGGGTCCTGATCATCTGTTGGCGTGATCTGACAGCATAATCTCATTGAGCCTCATTCAGAATTCCACAGTCGTTTCGTTCTGTTGAGATTCATCTCTCACACACACACACACACACACACACACACTCACTCACACACACACACACACACACACACACACACACACGCTCATCTAAACTCCTCCCTCTTTTCCTCGCAGCACACGGCGTGTTTCATCCAGCTGTGTGTGAAGTTGTTCTCAACATCTGTTCTCTTGGCATCCTTCAGCTGTGAGGTTGCCGGAGAACATGTGGAGAGACGGGCTGGGAATACAGTGGATCTCAGCAGACACACAGAAAACACTCGCGGCTCGTCTCACTTCCCAAATCTAATGAGCCACCTTCCTGGCCAGCATGCAAAGGCATCATGTGTGCACTTCCAGTTAGCAGTCCCAGAATGCAGTGCGATGAGCTCAGACATGGCACCCTTTTCAAGGAGTTTCAGACCACTTATATAAAGATTATATGAAATAATACGATAAAATAATTATAATTATTATAAGCTTTAAGCAATAACATTAGACTATAATAATAATAATAATAATAATAATAATAATAACAATAATTATTTTAAGCAAAAAAAACTAAATAAAAGAATGACAACAGTATTAACTCTTGTTGTTATTATAGCATATTTTTATAGCTTATAAAAATTAAAATAATTATATAGCTTATAATTAAATAACAATAAATAAAAAATAATTATTATTTTTATTTAAAAACACTATATAAAAATAATAAAAAATATGCTATATAATGACAAACAACAATAATAATAGTTGTTATTATTATAGCATATTTTTTCTTATATTCTTCTTATTATTCAGTAATTTTATAACTATAAAAACCATAATAATAATTATTATTATTATTATTA